CACAGAAGAGAAGACAGGGTGCCCTGGTCACTGCTGCCAGTTGTGAGGTGGATCCTGTTTCTTGGGGCGAATAAATGGAAGAGAGAAAGAGAGCAAGGAACATAGCAGTTAAACTTTGCAGGGTTTCCCTCTTCCCTTGCTTACCTTTGTGAGGTAGCATCCCAACACGTGGAGTGGAAAGTTGCTGCAGCGCTTGGTGATATGCCCCCCTCGTATTGCAAGAAGAGGGTTTTAACAAAGGGCTCAGTTTCCTGTGTGTTCCCATTTGCTTTCAGGAAACAGACTATTTGTGCAGAGCCCTCTCTTTTTATACAGTGTACCCTTTGATCCTATTCCCCCACAGCAATTTCCTCTTGCAAGCTCTACATATGCACATCCTCAGGCCGGAAGATATAGACCTCTGTCTCAGTTATGGGGCCCCTTTTGATTTCTATAATTATAACGGTCTGATTCCATTTTAACTCCCATGGCTTCATCCTATGGGATCCTACTGTTTGTAAGTTGAGTGAAGCACTAAAGGAGGCCCCTGGCTAGGAAGTCTACATTCCCCTCCCAGGATCCCATAACAGTTAAAGGGGAATCAGAATGCTATAACTATGTAGTGTTAAAGGGCCCCTGTTCTACATTCAGTGTCTGTGTGAGGAGGATATATATGCTGCTGGTGGTCTACTGTGATTGTGTTCTGAATTACACCAGTTAGTTCATTGCCCACTTGTCATTGCAGATACCAGCCACCACTGCAGCCAACTACACGGAGTTTGCACAGGACATCTTCCCCCCTTTACATTGTTGTTGTTGTGTGCCTTCAAGTCATTTCTGACTTATGGCAACCCTAAGGTGAACCTGTCATGGGGTTTTCTTGGCAACATTTGTTCAGATGGTATTTGCCTTCCTCTGCGAGGGTGTGATTTACCCAAGGTCACCCAGTGAGTTTCCATGGCCAGGCAGGGATTCAGACCCTGGTCTCTAGAGTTGTAGACGAACACTCAAACCACTATGCCACACTGGCTCGCTTTCTTTACATAGAGAGGGCTTTTTGTTGGGTTTTTTTAAATTAAAACTGGGTCTTTTTCAAGTGTTTTTAACATACAATTAAATATCTCCCTCTCCATTTCTCAGTGCATCAATTGATGGTACAGAATGCACAATGTGAAGCCTTTATTTTCCATTATTCCCTTGGAAACCAATGTAGTGATTAGAGTGATCTGAGAGATCCAGCTATGAAATTCTCCAGGTGACCTTGGGCAACCTCCTCTCTCCACCTGACCTACCTAACAGGATTGTGAGGATAACAATGGGGCAGGAGACAAACATGCATGGAAAAGTAGGATATATATGTAACAAATCAACTAACATATGAGCAGCACTGCTAGGATGAAGATTGAGGAGATAATTTGAGCTTGTGTTCGGTTGAAAGCAGTGCAGTGCACTTAGCCTATGCTGTCCTTATGCCCACAGTTCTTAATTCTGCAAGTCCTTGGCATGCTTGGAAAAATCTGCATGCATCTCATATCGCAGGTAGGAATAGTTGTTTTTGTTGTTGTTGGTTGTGTGCCTTCAAGTCTTTTCCAACTTATGGTGACCTTAAGATGAACCGATCATGGAGTTTTCTTGAAAAGATTGGTTCAGAGAAAGTTTGCCATTGCCTTCTCCTGAGGCTGAGAGCATGTGACTTGCCCAAGGTCACCCAGTGGATTTTATGGCTGAGCTAGGAATTGAACCTTGGTCTCCAGAGTCACAATCTGACACTCAAACTACTACACCACACTGGCTCTCAGTTGAAATATACTGGGCCACAAATATGCTCAGCCATTCTTCACTTACCTTCTGGAGATAACTGAGCTCATGAGTAATTGCTGCATAGCATGAATCTGTTCCATCAGATTTGCTTGTACACAGAGGTACTTTTCCTCTAAACCAGTTCTCTGTTTTAATAAACAGGGTGCAATACACCTGTTTCTGCAGGCCCAGCTCTGAGGTTTGTTTCCAGCAAGGCACACCTGATTAATCTCCCATGTGTGTAACGTACATTTGCAGCAGCCCTGTTAGGAAGAGCGGAGCTGGTGCAAATACCTGGAAGACAACAAGCCTATGCAAGATGGAGCAAGCTTTTTTCTACAGCTGATGAAACATCTGGAGCACTTGCTCTAAAAGTGTGTCCCCTTAAGAAAACTTGGTGTAGAATCTGCCAGTCAGAGTATTTCTTTCCCTCCCAACCGTTTTATATTTGGGTGTACCCATAGTTAAAGGTTGAGGAGTGCAACTCAGCAAGTGTGATTGGCCATTTCAAAATACAACTCTATGATTAAGTGCCTAAACCTAAGCATTTCATCCAAATTCAGGGCAGGTCCACAGACTCTTCCTGGAAATGCTTTTCTCTTATCCAACAGCATGTTCAACAGCCCCCCCCCCCATCTGCTGTCTCCATTTTAGGTCTGCTGGGGGAGGGGAGTACAGTAACATCCCAAATCCACAAAACAGTGATAACTTGCAACATGTATTTTGTGAATTTTGGTTGGCTGATAAAGGTTTGGGATGTTACTGTACTTTGCTACATGGCCAAGGTGTCTACCCCGGTTATGTTTTTTTTTTGGGGGGGGGGG